ATTTCTTTAGTAAATAAAGCGTGTTTGTACGAAGTTGTTTTACTTTGCTGTGGCGGGTTTTTTTCGACACGATCTCGCTTAATCTGGCACAACAATATCAATAACAACAACAGCAACAACAACAATGAGAGCAACAACAACAACATTAACAATACCAGCAACAGCGACAACAACAATGAGAGCAACAACAACAATATCAATAACAACAGCAACAACAACAATGAGAGCAACAACAACAATATCAATAACAACAACAGCAACAACAACAATGAGAGCAACAACAACAACATTAACAATACCAGCAACAGCGACAACAACAATGAGAGCAACAACAACAATATCAATAACAACAGCAACAACAACAATGAGAGCAACAACAACAATATCAATAACAACAACAGCAACAACAACAATGAGAGCAACAACAACAACATTAACAATACCAGCAACAGCGACAACAACAATGAGAGCAACAACAACAATATCAATAACAACAGCAACAACAACAATGAGAGCAACAACAACAATATCAATAACAACAACAGCAACAACAACAATGAGAGCAACAACAACAACATTAACAATACCAGCAACAGCGACAACAACAATGAGAGCAACAACAACAATATCAATAACAACAGCAACAACAACAATGAGAGCAACAACAACAATATCAATAACAACAACAGCAACAACAACAATGAGAGCAACAACAACAACATTAACAATACCAGCAACAGCGACAACAACAATGAGAGCAACAACAACAATATCAATAACAACAGCAACAACAACAATGAGAGCAACAACAACAATATCAATAACAACAACAGCAACAACAACAATGAGAGCAACAACAACAACATTAACAATACCAGCAACAGCGACAACAACAATGAGAGCAACAACAACAATATCAATAACAACACCAACAACAGCAACAACAACAATGAGAGCAACAACAACAATATCAATAACAACAACAGCAACAACAACAATGAGAGCAACAACAATAACAATAACAATAACAATAACAATAACAACAGCGACAACAACAATGAGAGCAACAACAACAACAACAGCAGCAACAGCAACAATGAGAGCAACAACAGCAACATTAACAATACCAGCAACAGCGACAACAACAATGAGAGCAACAACAATAACAACAACAACACCAACAACAGCAACAACAACAACAATGAGAGCAACAACAAGAACAACAATAACAACAACAACACCAACAACAGCAGCGACAACAACAATGAGAGCAACAATAACAGCAACAACAACAACAACAGAAGCAACAAGAACAACCGCAACAGCAGCAACAACAAGAAGAACAGCGACAACGACATAAATAATAATAACAGCCGCAACAGAAGCAACAACAACAACAACAGCAACGTCAACAACAACAACAACAGCAATCGCAACAACAGCAATCGCAACAACAACGACAGCAACAACAACAATGACAAAATTTTTTTCTGAATGAAAGTTCTTTTTTAATTCTTCAGATGTTGTTACTCGTGTCGAAAACAAGATCCTAGGTTTGGTCCAGTTCTCGAAGACAACTGTTGTCAATGTAATTTCTCTGCTGTCAAACAAACATTAGGTGGTTTCTTTGAAAATGTTGATATTGTGTATACGTCGTTCGTTGATGAGGTCAGTCTGCGATTTTGTAATTACAGTGAAGACCACATTTTGAATTTTTTACCAAAATTTGCTCGAAAAAATTTGCTTTCATTTCCTGTAGCTTTATGTCAGTCCATTTTATGTCGCCGTGGATCATGGGAAGAAATCTGTGATCTTATCAATCCGAGGAACTCTATCTTTACAGGTCAGCCTTCACTCAGCGCAAACGACACCACGGGCGGATCCACCGTGGGGATACTGGGGGATTGGGGGGAGTGCACCCCACCTACTGGTGCCTAGCACTTCCCTGGAGAAGTCCAGCAACACCCTAAAAAATCTGCTTGACCATATATTTTCTGCTTTTCGAATAGCGATTAGCGGAACTTCTACTGTTAACGCGTGTCGATTCCTTGAAACGATTTCATTGATTTGTGAGATCACGAGAAAATACTCAGAATGATTAAATATGTAAACATGTCGAGGTTGTTATACAGCCATATTTTCAAACATGCCGTACTTTAACAAGCAAATTTACTGCACTGTGCTACAGCAACTGTCCAGTCACGCATACGTGATAAAAAAGCCGATATAAACTTTATTAACAAAAGATAATGTAAAACGTAACAGAACGGCGAACATGCAGATTCTGCCATCTCAAATAATGGTAATGTTGGGATAGTAGCGTTGCAGACTGCAGAGGAGAGTGGGCAGTAAGGCTCCCTCATGCACCACCCCATGGAAAACCTGCACCCCTCCTTGCAGATGAGGCTAGATCTGCATGTGCACTCAAATGACCAACTAATTTTACCCACAAAAATATTTTATTTCAGAATATTCTCACAGACTTGATCGTTGAACCGGAGAAAATTCCTTGCAGTCGAAGTCAGATGGGAGATGAATGGTTTGCACACAAAGGAATGTTGAGGACGGCAATGAGTTTGAAGAATATCTTGGAAACCAAGAATATATTAACTGAAGCTTTTAATAAATGCCCTGTGAGTACTTGCCGTTAAACTTCTTAATTATTTCCTGGTTTGTCATTTTTACTAATTTCCTTCCCTGTATTTTGCTCTCCAGGCAAATGAACGCAGCAACTATCAACTTATCATCGTGGGTCATTCATTGGGGGCAGGTGCCGCGGCTATATTAGCTATATTATTAAGAGAGACATATCCCAACCTATTCTGCTATGCATATTCCCCGCCTGGAGCGACATTGAGTCACGACGCCACAAAGTATGCTGAAGATTTCATCTTGTCTGTTGTCATTGGCAAAGACATGATTGCAAGGTAGGAGGGAGAAGTACACCCGTATTCTAAAAGCTCACTCACACTCAATGAGTGGAGGTTCAATTGCAATCCGAACTTCCCTTGAGTGTCAGTGCTGTTTTTGAATAGCTGGAGGGTTAGTCTCGTACCTTACTATGTGACTAATCACCCTCCAGCTATAGTGTGGCGGATATGTGCACAGTAGCATCTTTTTATGAGTAGAACAACATGCAAAAGTGGGGCCATCGTGAAACTGTTTTTTAGAGAGCTACGACGCTGTTAGCATTATCTGCTATTAAATTTTACTACAACGAAAAATGTGAAATTTTGAATTCAATCGCGACAAATATAACTTGCATCATCAGAAAGCTTCTAAATAACTACATAAAAGACTTTTAAACAGTTTTTTTATTCTTCCAATGGTTATTGCTGTAAATTAGGCACATTATCTCGCTAAAAGTCCCTAATTAATTATTTCATGATTAATTAGTCATATTTGTTGTAATTGAATACGAAATTTCACATTTTTTGGCTATAATAGAATTCAATAGAAGAAAATCACTAATCACCCGCGCGTTTTCAGGAGTTAGCAGCAAAATAGCGATGGCCCCACTTCAAATATCTATTAAGCAAATAAAACTACATCAATTGTAAAAGTTTGATGCTTTTAACCTCAACGGGAACTACCGATCAATAATTTTACACATATCCGCCTCACTACTATTCAAAAACAGCATTGACACTCAAGGGAAACTCATATTGAACCTCCACTCTTTGAGTGCGAGTGTGAGTGAGCTTTTAGAATCCAGGCGTTACACTATATTGAATAATATTATACTTTAGTATAATTTCAGTAGTGAAAAATGGCCTTTGAGCATTACTGCTCAGATTGCTCCGGGCAGTAACTGTTGCTTTTGCCAAAAAAATGGCGGCTGACAATCAGACGGAAGTGAATTATGTTTGCAAATTATATTCATAAAATAAACACGTGTATTAGTTGTATTTATAAATAAAACTTTTTCAATTCTGAAATTATACTAAAACCATTAGTATCCTCAGGCTCGGTGATTACTTAACAATAATCCCCCGATAATCACCTTATAAACATTCCCCGATAATCACCAAGCCTGAGGCGAATAATTGTTTTAGTATTTTTGTGTGATCTGGGGCTGAATTTATTTTAATTTCGCTTATTTCTTTATCAGTATAACGTTCACAAAACGGCTAGCCGCCATTTTGAAAATTTCGGATTCGTTATATTCACCTGTAGGTGAATATAACAGCTTAATACGTCAAATTTGACCAATCAACTTGTAGGATTTGTTATGTTCACTTGTGCAAAAATACTAAAAGCTTATATTCACTTCGGCTTCGGCCACTAATTGTTAAATATTACACCATACCGTACCATACCACATACATTTTGACATCATTTTCTCGTCATCTTACATCTCCTCGTCATCTTTTGACAGAATGAGTTTAAACAATCTCAAAGATTTACGAGATCGAGTTATGTTTCTTATTTCCAAAACACGAAAGCCTAAGGTACTATCAATAAAGTTAGAAGAGTTAGTGTAATAGGAGATGACCATTTACCGTTACTTGGCCTCTAGGAAGAGAAGTTTAGAACTGATAGAGCTATCCAGTATCAATGAAGTTAGTTTACTTTAGGTTTCCTCCTGTAGTAACACTGGATCAATGATAGATGATCCTTACTGGACCTCTAGGAAGAACAGTTTAGAACTGATAGAGTTATCCAGTATAAATAAAGTTAGTTTAGTTTAGGTTTCCTCCTGTAGTAACACTCGATCAATAAGAGATGATTCTTACTGGACCTCTAGGAAGAACAGTTTAGAACTGATAGAGTTATCCAGTATAAATAAAGTTAGTTTAGTTTAGGTTTCCTCCTGTAGTAACACTGGATCAATAAGAGATGATCCTTACTGGACCTCTAGGAAGAACAGTTTAGAACTGATAGAGCTATCCAGTATAAATAAAGTTAGTTTGGGTTTCCTACTGTAGTAACACTGGATCAATAAGATATGACTCTTACTGGACCTCTAGAAAGAACAGTTTAGAACTGATAGAGCTATCCAGTATAAATAAAGTTAGTTTAGTTTAGGTTTCCTCCTGTAGTACCACTGGATCAATAAGAGATGATCCTTACTGGACCTCTAGGGAGAACAGTTTAGAACTGACAGAGCTATCCAGCATATATAAAGTTAGTTTAGTTTAGGTTTCCTCCTGTAGTAACACTGGATCAATAAGAGATGATCCTTACTGGACCTCTAGGAAGAACAGTTTAGAACTGATAGAGTTATCAAGTATAAACAAAGTTAGTTTAGTTTAGGTTTCCTCCTGTAGTAACACTGGATCAATAAGAGATGATTCTTACTGGACCTCTAGGAAGAACAGTTTAGAACTGATAGAGCTATCCAGTATAAATAAAGTTAGTTTAGTTTAGGTTTCCTCCTGTAGTAACACTGGATCAATAAGAGATTATCTTTACTGGACCTCTAGGAAGAACAGTTTAGAACTGATAGAGCCATCCAGTATAAATAAAGTTAGTTTAGTTTAGGTTTCCTCCTGTAGTAACACTGGATCAATAAGAGATGATCCTTACTGGACCTCTAGGAAGAACAGTTTAGAACTGATAGAGCTATCCAGTATAAATAAAGTTACTTTAGTTTAGGTTTCCTCCTGTAGTAACACTGGATCAATAAGAGATGATCCTTACTGGACCTCTAGGAAGAACAGTTTAGAACTGATAGAGCTATTCAGTATGAATAAAGTTAGTTTAGTTTAGGTTTCCTCCTGTAGTAACACTGGATCAATAAGAGATGAACCTTACTGGACCTCTAGGAAGAACAGTTTAGAACTGATAGAGCTATCCAGTATAAATAAAGTTAATTTAGTTTAGGTTTCATCCTGTAGTAACACTGGATCAATAAGAGATGAACCTTACTGGACCTCTAGGAAGAACAGTTTAGAACTGATAGAGCTATCCAGTATAAATAAAGTTAGTTTAATTTAGGTTTCCTCCTGTAGTAACACTGGATCAATAAGAGATGAACCTTACTGGACCTCTAGGAAGAACAGTTTAGAACTGATAGAGCTATCCAGTATAAATAAAGTTAATTTAGTTTAGGTTTCATCCTGTAGTAACACTGGATCAATAAGAGATGATCCTTACTGGACCTCTAGGAAGAACAGTTTAGAACTGATAGAACTATCCAGTATAAATAAAGTTAGTTTAGTTTAGGTTTCCTCCTGTAGTAACACTGGATCAATAAGAGAAGATCCTTACTGGACCTCTAGGAAGAACAG